AATGTTTCGAGCTTAACGTCGAAACACAAACACGCCTATTTCCGCTCGCAATTTGCCCGACAAAACTCGTCTTGATGTACGTGACCGGTGGCGTAATATCGCGCTGTTTGCCCCGTAATACCGGAGGTCCGGTTTATCGATCACACGACTCGGCTGCAACTTCGACTGGCGAAAGGTCGATGGTCAATGATTTATCGGGCAAAGTCTCGCGACTGACGACGTGTTAATTCCACTCCGTATAATGCATCGAGTCTTTACACCCCACCCTGATGAACCGGATAACGGGTAGATACCGAGGAGATTGTAAGATGATACGTATGGTTTGTTGTTTCGGGTTGTTGGGTATAATTTTGAAGTTGTTGAAACTAGGAGGAAGTTTTTGCCCTTTGTGGAAAGTTCAGCTAGATGTAACGTGAATATTGTTGATAAATACTATAGAGAGAATTTCTTTATTGCATTTTTTTTTCTTTTTTCTTTTTTGATTTCCCTTCTTGTTTGAAACTGGTTTTTAAGCTTGAAATTTTTAATATCGTGATGAAGCTTGTTATGTTTTATAGATAAGGAAAAAGTTGTGCTTTTGTTTGGAATTGTTTGAAGTTTTGTTTTATTAAAAGCATAAAGAAAATATCTTATATATATATATGAAAGAATTATCATTAATATAATTATAAAATAACTATAATATTTAATAATATAATTTTACATGGAATATTAATTAAATAGAAAAATATCAAGACAGAATAAATTAATTTACTAAATTAATGTACTAAATTTTACTTTAATCTAATTTAAATATTCTAAGCTTTAATCAATAAATAAAATTCATCGAAATATTTTATTTAAAATTCGAGTTAGAGTAATTATTTTTTAAATTTATGCTGTATTCAATCTATAATAATCCTCCACAATAATTCGAAACAATTATACTTCGAATATTTAAAAAAAAAAAAAAGGAAAAAGATCTTCACCAGTTCCGGGCCATTAGACGGAAATGCGAGAATCGTGCGGACTTGGTCGCACAGTGGACCCGAATGGAATCGAACCGCCACGGGCGAAATCTACATCCATAATCGCCGGTATGAAATTCAAATCGAATCTTTTGTGCCGCTCGGCCCCGCAGTCAGCGAACTTTCCACCAACTTTTCCCTTGAAAGGAAACGCCGTGGAAAGTATGCAGCGTACACTTCGCGGCCGGCATTCAGTCCGTCGCGAACTTCGAATATTTGAAATACTTGAGGCACTTCTTGCCCGGGAAATTATAGAACGCTCTTCCTTTGCGACGCCATCTCGCTGAATAGGTTCGATACAATCTTCCATCGAAGGCCATTACGATCTTATAAAAATAACATTATTATATCTAGCTTGAAATTCAATTTTTCAACTCGATTTTTCGAAATTTTTCTTGAAAAATTGCAGTATAAAGGAGTCGGGAAGAAGCTTTTTTTTTTTATGAAATTTATGAAATTATCTATGTTCTATTTACAATCTCAAGTTTATATAAAAAATCTCGTTTTTATATAAACTTCTCGGGATCGAGACATTTCACATGAAATATTATTATTTATTTATTTATATTTATACAAATAATATTTTATTTGTTTCTATTAAATTGCATACTTTTTTCGAAGTTAGTAATTATTTTTTTGTTGTATTTTCATACCATTTACATATTTCTGTGAAGATTTCGCATGGAATATCATTTGATATCATCTTTTTTATGCTTCTTTCGTTGTAAATTTCTTTAATATTTTCAATAATATTGTTCACCATTTATTTTCGCCATTTTGTTCACCATCGCTTTCATTAGCTTTTATAATATAATATATTAGAATATATAAATTACATGTATAAATTATAT